TATATATATTTTTAAAACAGTAAAATGTAAATTATGTGCTAAAATATACAATTTATTGGAACTAAGCCGGAAAAAATAAATGTGAAGGTCAATTAAATTATAAAGCATGAGGTAAAGTTTCCTTTTGTAATTTTATTGGTGCATTTTAAGTGTATTTATTTATTTATTGGTCTATTTTTCTGCATTTTTGTCTAATTAAGTCAGTTTTGGTCCTCCATACTTTTCATTGGTGCATATAAATGTTCTTGTTATTACAGATGGAGACAATAACTCTTCGGGAATTTTCAGCGACAAGTTGGTAAGCTACCAACACTTAAAGCGTCCACGCAGCAACCTTTCAACAGCTTCTAATTTAGCGGGTTCACGGTCGGGCCGGTTAAAAGATGGATGGATTTAGACACGCATGTACAGGAGGCTCTGGAAACAGCGTGCGTGTGCAGAGATGCCGGTCAACACAAAGTGAAACCTGAGAAGCACCAAACACTGTGGAGTGTGACTGAATGTCAGGACAATAGAATGCCCAGTTGTCTTGACTGGGTGGGAGAAGCTTCTGTTTGACATTAAATGTTGGATGTAATCATTTGTTCAGATGAGATGTACGTATGAGACGAATGTGATGTTTGGACTGGATTAATTTCTCAAAGGAATAGTTCAATTTAACCCCATAAAGACTATTGTTATAAATTTATCTCAAAACCTCTTTCATTCAAAGTATCCATTAATCCCTGTTGATGTAAACTCTGCATGGATCTAAAATTCTGTAATTAAAAACAGAAATAATCGTACAGAAATAGGATWATTTACATATATGAGAATGGGATATTTATTTAATTACTATTATACCACCATGCATCACCTACATGTTTATTTATTGTGCTATATTCAAACTAACAGTCTCTAATTCAGATATGTCAAACTKAAGGCCTGTGGGCCAAATGTGGCCTACGGGTGACTCCCATCTGGCCCACCAAGGAGGAAGCACCCACCCCCCAAAAAATATATATTTTATTCAGTTATTTTTTTACTTAATATGATGTTTATTTTATATCAATGGTAAACATTAAATTTATGATTAAATGYGACAAAATAATACATAATAAGATCATATTTCTTGCCTTGCACCTGAGCTATTGGCTTTGAGCAATTTAAGTTGGACAGCACAGTACTAATATCAGTAATAAGTTGCTTTAAAGCCAGCATCAACTATAAACTAAATCTCCCATAATGCATGTCGATCCATGGGATTTYCTGTCAGAAAGTAGGAGAGTTCAGAATTCAAGATGGCTGCTGCTCACTACAAACTCTTGCTTTTACGTTTAATATTATTTATATATTATTTATTTCACATTTAATCAGTCATAATCAGTACTTTACAGTATTTATGAAAGAGCATTTTAAAACACTGTTTTGACATTAAACAGTTAATTACAACTGGCTCTTTGAGGGCCACCCCAATGTTCATGTTTGACACCCCTGCTCTAATTTATTTAACGTGCTTCACAGCAATAACAAATACACAGCAAATAATTARTTTTGTCTTAAAATTCTGGAGCTATTCTAGTTTCCCACCCCAAAGTTTCAGAAATTAAGGTAGATTGTTGTCTTTCATTTACCTAATCCTTTTTTTTAATCCCTCCAGACCCATAAAACTAAATAAAACTAAACTCTCCACTTATTCACCCGCTGCGATAATTACAGCCTCCTCTTGTTGCTTAAATCCTTTCCTTGAGTCTGCCTGTAGTGATGAAACTTTACTCTGGACTAAATTTAGCCTCTGTGCCATCCAATAGTCCTAATAACACTTCTCGCGCCTCTTAGGGGTTTTTCAACTTAACATTTCTTTTTAACGCTTCTGGAAAAAATAAAAAGTATTTTTTTTAATCCTCTGCTATTTTGTTTTGTGGTGAAAGAAAATTACAAATGAGAAACAAGTTTTATCAGACAACTAAAGATGTCTCTTTTGACAAACTTCTAAAATAATGAATTTGTTTCGTTGCAGTTAATACAAAAAAATACAGAATTGCATTTTAATTTGCATCTCTAAAACAAATACCTGCACATCCAAACACTCATTTAATTTGTGTTGGAACTGGGCTGCAACATAAAATGAGGAGTTTTATAATAAAAACAGTTGATTCTGATAAGAACCTCTCAGCAAACTATTACAATCACTTTTAACAAACAAATAAATCTGCCTCAGGCCACATCCTCACATCCCAGAATTATTCTTTGTAACAATAATTAATATTGGCTCTTAAATTAGTGATGATTGGAGCGCTCTCTGTTACTTCTGCTGAGTTTCTAACAAAGACTTGCACAAATAACATYATTTTAAATGTTTGTTACAAAGATCAGATGAACAGGCTTAAGATTTTTCTGCCTCATATCTAATATAAAACACAAAATGCAACAATGTTTTATTAACCCAGCTAAGCACTAAGCTGTGTCTAAAAACTGAAGCAACTTGTAAACGAAGCCTAGAACCATGAGCAGAAAAAAGGCTGAAATGGTTTGATCAGTTTCTAAGAAACTGGTCCAAAATATGAATTTACATCCAAAAAAGTGACATTTTGAACTAAAAAATAAAGCAAGTGACTGAGCTGTGAATGCTGCCAACTAATTAACAAACAGAACAATTAATAATAACTAAAAAAATTAATTTATTTTGGCTCATAAGCAGAATCCTCAGTTTTCTGTTCTTAGAACAACTTCCTGCGCTCTCTAAAGTTTTTACCAACTTCTCATCAACGAACAAAATAAAACTTTTTGGTTCTCTGTCTTTACTTTTCAAGGCCACAATGAGCCTCCTCCAGATGTTCAGCCTTCACAGCTGGATCCCTCACATCAACATGAATGAAGAACTCCACAGATCAGGTTTCTCCTCTTTGGAAAAAAAAAACTGTTCAAGGACACACGCGTGTACGCACACTACTGCAGCATGCACCGTGTGAAAAACACCAGCAAACATGGGCTCCCATAAACACAGAAGTTCTGGAACTGGGTGCAAATATGATTTTTCTCGTGCACTCGCACACTGAACGCTGTGACACGTGACATGAGGCATTCTTACAAGTGTTAAGTCCAACCAGGGGCTTAGGGGCTGACGTGCAGAGGGACTCAAAAACAGGTGGAGGAATCAAAGAAAAGAGCGTCAAGATGTCCGCATGTGAATATGTGCAATCAAAGATGAGRTGGTGATCATTTACAAAACCTTACTGACCTTATTGTGATTAATAAGTCACACTAAAAGGCTTTTTCTCGGATGTGGTGGGCGCCATCCATGCAAGTGTGAGTTTTATTGGTCATACAGGTGCGTCGTGAGTGAAATGTGAGCCAGGAAATAGAAAATGGAGACATTATAATGAGAAAAATGTGTAAAAGTTAACACRCAAAGCAAAATACTGAGACGGGGTTAGATTAAAAAAAGAGAAGGACACTGACCAGAGTTTGCTTGTACCTCAGAGCTTTCCTTTCCAACGCATCTGCAGCCATTGACACACAGTTACTGATCCAAAAATAAACCCAGCCGCTCACCGGGAGTCTCAGCATTACCAGAACTGCACCGGACGCTCTGTCACGCACACACACACACACACACACACACACATAAAGACGTGGCTCTTTAAACACACACATACATGCACATACTCTGACATGCTGTAAATGAGCTCCGGCTGCAGTTACAGTAGCCAGAACGTTCCACAGAGAGGAGCAAAGGAAGGAGATCCTGAAGCTCTTTTTGCTCAAGATTGAAAATGTTTTAGTTTCAAACTCATTCTCAATAATTACAAATGTTTCTTTTGGCTCATTCCTCTCACATTGTTTTATGAACCAACACTGAAGCAACTGGACTTTTGTTTTCTAGCTAAAGACACATGGAGATACAGATCTGATTTTAGCTGTAGTATCTCAATAGGTTGAGAGTATTAGGGCCACACGAGATTTTTTATTATTATTACGAAATTAAAGTTGGAATTTTATGAGCATAAAGTCCTAATATTACGAGATTAAAGTTGTAATATTACAAGAAAAAAGTCATAATCTTACATGATGTGTCCATTTTCCATTTCTCATTTCCTCACACCTGTTGTGTACGGCCATGTGTTTGTGTTTATACAGTAGTCTGTGATGATTTAGGTCACTGTTAGTGTAATATGATTTCATCCAAAATACATGACAACTAAATCTGGCAAGGTATCCGTTGATTACAATACAGCTTCAGTTTATAGTAGGGTTGGGCGTAAACGTATCATGTGCAATTAATCGTCAGAAAAACATTAACTGATTATTTTTTGGCACTTGACAATTAATACAATTAATGCCACCAGGTAGAGTGTTTGAAGATTTCTCCAGTCAGTCTGCTTCAAATATGATGAACATTATAAAAAATGTTATGTCATTTATTTATCTATCAACACAGTTTAAAATTTGATGTATAGAGTGAAGTAGGGCTGCTCGATTATTGCAAAAATTAATCACAATTTTTTTGATTGAAATTGGGATCTAGATTTTTTAACAAAATTATTCATTCACTTTGATAACATGAATTAATTGAACATATTGAATAATGTTTCCCGCAGGATTTCAAATGTTTTAGAAAAAAAATAGACAAAGTGAAACTTTGGCCTGCAGCATCGTGCCGGCAGCGGCGCTGGATTCACAACACAAAACAGCGTAAGCGTAATTTGCAAACTTTGATCTTTGTTTTTTTTGATCGTTGAAAACCTCAATCGTAATCAAGATCAAAATCCAATTAATCGCCCAGCCCTAGCGTGAAGTCTGTAATTTTGACACAGTTTGGGACAGATTTTTATGAAGAGCAAATCTTCCCACTAAACAGGACCAGGACATAAGTGTGCCCAGGGACTCCAAGGGATTAATCGTCATATTAATCGTTATCATCTAAATACCACAATTAATCATGATTAATTTTTTTGCCAATATTCCCCAGCTTCTTTTTTTTAATCATTATGATAATTGTTTATGATGTTATTATGTGTGTTGTTGATTTTATGGGGGGCATCAAACAGATTATG